TAGAATTTCTATTAAAAATAAATGAAAAAATACCATATAAGGACACATAACCTCCTCTCTTTTAATTTGATTTTAACAGAAATTCTTAAAGAAAAAAAAGGTGATATGCCTTATCAAGAATTATTATCTAAAAGCATGATGTATGAATGTACAATATATCATAAATGAATAACACGCTCTTATTAAAATAGAATGTTATAAATACTTTATAAATAATGTCTCAATGTCAAAATTATAGTTGCTTTACAGACATCTACCCTAAAGGGCCACTTGCTTAGCGGGCATTCATCCCTTCTAATTGCCAATCGCACGCCTCTATCTCATATGTATTCATTTCTCCAAATTAGCTATTGACTATACGTCTACTGATCAGCTAGATTTGCTTTTATACCGTGTAAGTGCTGCAAGTCTTTTAATTAATTTCGATCTACCAGAATTTCCATCATAGTTAGGAGTGTTGTTTAAAAAAAAAAAAAAAAAACAAACAAATAAACAAAACAAAACATACATGTGCTCAATATTTGATGACGTGGGGACTCAAGTCGAAGCACAACGTAACTAAAAGAGCCATTCCATTTAAGACAAGATAAAATGGGCAGACACGAGTGTTCTGGTGTCCAAGTCAATTGGTCAGACGACGACTACTTCACTTATTAGATTAGCATTAGCCGCCTATCCCGAAATGCAATGAGATGGAATAGAAAGAACGCGAAGCGCTATAAGATCGGTTTTTTTTTCCGACCGGCAACTGCTAGGGTTTCCCCTTCTCTTCTAAGTAGGAGTGGCAATTCGTGTCATGTGTCGTGTTTTGATCGTTTCTTTCTAAATTTACAATCAACTCGAACACGACCCGTGACACGAAATTTTTTAAAAACCGCAACACGACCACTTTACGGATTGACATAACACAACACGAAAATGACCCGTGAACCCGAAATTGACACGAAAATTGTATATTTTTATTTAGTTTTTTACATATTAGAAATAACTTAAAATTCATAACACACTAAAATACAATAACATCCATTGAAATTAAGCAAATAATAGTATAAGATTTTGAGTATAACTATCATGATATCACAAGTTCATAATAAAATCAAAAATATGTAATGAAAAATATATGTATTTTTTAGTTTTTTACGAGTTTCGTATTGTGTTCGGGTTAGGCGGGTCCAACCCGAAATTGACCTGTGTTTTTCGTGTCAATTTCAGGTCGACCTAATTATGACCCGAACATCTTTTTTTTCAACCCTAACCCGCGAAATTCATGTCCTTTTTGAGTCGTGTTGTCGTAACCCATATTACCGATCCTACTCTTAAGTACATTTATTAACTTTTCCATTGTCAGAACTTGGAACACATTTTTTTCCCTTGAGCGTTTCATTCCACTACTACAATTAGTAGATTTAGCGACTCGAAGGTTTACATGCTTCGGGGCACTATACTCAGGAGTGCTACCTTAAAGTAGTTGGCCGCAAGGTTTAGTTAATGGTAATTTCGGTGATAACAAACAATTGATGGTAAGATTGCTAAGAATTATTCTTGAGTTCTTTGTTGAAGAAAAATGTACATATAGCTTGAAAACATATAAAAGCTTGAAAACGAACAAACAATTGATGGTAAGATTGATGGTAATTTCGGTGAGTTCTTTGTTGAAGACATATAAAAGCTTGAAAACGAGAAGGATCATAAAGGCTAGTTCATATAGCTTGAAATCCCATTCCGAGTCAGTTGTGTGAGCACTCTTTATATTTTAAGGCTCAGTTCATTTCACCGATTCAAGTTTATAATTTGAGTTTTATTACAGTAAAAAGCTCTAAGAAACAGTAATATCTAACTTTTTTTGCTATGGTAAAAAGCTCTCACATAAAGTCACATCTCAACTCGAATTAAAAACTCGAATTAGTGAACTAAACGGGCCCTAATTAATTCTTGTTTTAAATTTGGCGTTGTGCACACACATAATTTAAAATTCCATAATTTTGAAAAGTTGCATAAAAACATTATACTAAAGGTTTTCTAAAGTGATGAAATATGTTTTCGAGATGAAGTTTGGTCTTAAATTTTTATAAAACCGTTTTGTTTGAAAAATGAATTTGTAAAGTCTCAAAACTTGGACAAAGGTTTTGCTAACATTATCCAGTAAGCCGATGGATTATATGAGTCAATCCTTGGGTTACTGAAATCTAGAAGGGCTTGAATAGCCAGGATCACCCACCAGTCAACCGGAAGTCAGCTGAAATAAAATTGGGGTAGAGTTGTAATAAATTACAGGTAAAATAATAGTATATATTTGACACTTTACTATTATAGAAAAGTGGTGAATGGTGATGATATGGTAAAAGGAGAAATAGGAGAGTTAAAAAAAAAAAAAAAAAAAAAAAAAAAAAGGGGCAAAAAAAGTTATCTTAGCATTTTTTTTTTTTTTTTTATTTTGTTTAAAAGGAAAATTTCATATAAACCAAAGAGCTACAAAGACCAATACTTAGTGAATGATACCAAGACACAAGTCGTCTTAACTCTAAACATAAACCGTATACACCACGGATATATATATATATATATATATGACAGACCAAAGAAATATGAGCACGGCAATGCCTCTATATACACGTTGTTGTTTCATTGCTTTTAAAACCGAGACCATTTTTATTCAATGCAAGAAGTTGGCTTAATTATTGACAGAAAATGTCACTTCTCCTCCCTAAATAATGGGCTAGCTTGGCCTTTGTTCACAGCAATTCTTGATAAAGAGTGGAGTGTGACATCTAAAATATAAAGTCAAAATAATTATTTTCATTAAGCTAACCCTACGATTACTTAACAGAGACATGCTTATCTGTTTTTTTTTTTTTTTTTTTTTTTTTTTTTTTTTTTTTTTTTTTTTTTTTTTTTAAGTCTTACGCGTAGCCGTTCAAGCAACGCTATTCTAAATTGTGATTGCTACCCTAGCTATGTATTTATGTCATCCTCCAAATCCCATATTAAGTTCAGCATTGGTTTGTCACTATCATTTGTAATAATACCAACATTAACATTGATGTAGAAGTATTAACATGGTGCACCATATAAAGTGGTTGCAGGCATTTACTAGTGGTAAATCCACACTTTATTGCATCTTGAAGTTTAGAGTTTAAAAATAGCCTCATTCCAAGTTCAAAAAACATGGTAGAAATCTTGTTTAGCTCCAAATGCAACAATATCATGACCCAATAATTGGTATTTCCATGACGAAGGATTATAGCAGAATTGAAATTTTAACTAATTCTACAAAGACTAATCAATTGAACTCATATCTAATAAGAACTAATATAATTGTCAGCGCCCCAAAAAAAATATTATAACCATGTCTCTATTTAATAATAATAATTGAATTCTCTCCTATATTTTGCATATATATTGTGTTTTGGATTGAAAAAACTTTTTAACTCTCACACCATTATCCCATCTATATTGATCATATATATCTAAATATGTGACCAAGGTTGAGCCTATGTGTTAACGGGATGGCCCGATCAATTCTAAGTCATTAAACTTGTATGAGACATTTATTGTCTCATTTACCATGCATTAATACGTTAATTACCATCATTTGTTGTTTTTTTACTACAGTTTAATAAGAAGAATACGAAGAACAATAATAACTTGCGTTCAATTCTATGCTTAGGAAAGTTCAATAGTGTTACTATCAAAAAAAAAAAAAATTTATAAAGAAAACAATATTGTTCTTTTATGCTTATAATAACCACTTAAACAAGCAATGCCACTTAAAATTAGCTCTTGTAATTGGGTATGTGAGTCGATGATTCAAGAATTAAAATTTTAATGACTTAGTTTTTTTTTTAAATATGGTGAGAGTACACGTCTCATATCATATTAAAAAAATAAATAAATAAACAAACATTTGATCAAATGATATATAATAAAAAATAGTGTTATTATTATGCTACGATTTATATGCATTTGTGGGACACAGTTACACAATTTTTTCAGCGCCATTATGGGACCAATTTGTGAATGTCAAAACGACCCACATCAATCCAATCTGTCGTACGTCAGGAGAGAATTGAGGCACAGCTAAACATTAATTCCCCAAAATGGGAGCCTACTAAGACAATCAGGAATATACTCATCACATATATAATAATCCCCACCTTCAATTCAACATTGTTCGTATGATCTTTTATGAATTTAAAATCTATTAAATTCATCCTAAAAGTTTAAGTTTTTAGGAGGTGGACTAACAATAATTTTTATATTTTAACACTCTTCCTCACGTGTAGATTGAACAATAGGCAATTATGTGAGTAAATTAATTAGAAAGCCCAACGCGTGAATATTTAAACCCGAAATATATTAAAAACCGAACACATGATGATAATTTAAATAGGGATAAAGAGTGCAATTATGAGAATTTGATCTCAGAACCTCCCGTTCTGATACTATGTTAGTTTACCAATTCATCTCAAAAACTTAAGTTTTTAGAAAATGAACCAACAATAATTTTATATTTTAACATGTTCGTGTGATCTTTCATGAATTTAAGATATATTAGTAATGATCTAATGCAAATGAAACAATATTATTAGTGACCCTCACGTTCTCACTTTTCCTCTCATATCATATATTTCGGATCACCACCCAAAAATTAGTGAACCTCACAGCTAACACGACCTTTTCTCCCTCACCCAAAAAAAAAAAAAAAAAAAAAAAAAAAACCCCTTCCATACCACGTAATATCTCTCTCTTCTCTAATTTCCTGTAGAGATTTTCGACAACAATCCACCTCAAAAAAGCTAAGAGACAAAATCAAGTTTTTTCTTTTTTCTTTTTTCTCTCTTTTGTCCTCATTTAGTCCTTGTTTGATCATTAAGACAATTGTTGCCTTTCTTTATTCTGGGTTTATTTTCACACAACAAAAGTCATCTCACGAACCTTAATTTCCACTTTCAATAAAGTTTATGTTTGTGTCACATTGACTTGGTTTTTCCTTTCTGGGTTTTTCTTGAAACTTCTTTTTCGATGAGTTAATATTGTATGTGTTTGTGTGTGTATATATAAATATATATCTAATCTTTGGGGTGGTTTTAGAGTTCCAAGAAAATGGGGTTTGATGAGAAGAAAGAAAGGGGAGAGACAAGTAATCAGAGAGGAAATAAATTGAAAGAAAACCAAATAGAAGAGAAGGGTTTGGATGAATTAGGAGAGAAGATAGGGAGACAAATGAGTGAGGTTTCTCTTAATGGAACTGATCAAGAAGAGGAAGATGATGATCAAGGCAACAAATTACAGTTGGGTCCTCAGTTTACTCTTAAAGAACAACTTGAGAAAGACAAGGTCTGAAATATATATATACACACATGTATATATATCAAAAATATCTTTTCTTTTACTTTTTCGTTTTCATTTTTTTTTGCATGACTATAATAGTATATTTGTTGTTGACCTTTGGGGGTAAAGGATGATGACAGTTTGAGGAGGTGGAAGGAACAGCTTCTTGGGAGCGTGGATTTTGACAGTGTTGGAGGTACATTCTTTTCTTCTTCTTCTTCTTCTTTCTTTCTTCTTTCTTTTTTTTTTTTTTTAATATAATGTTGGAGGTACATATTGTCGCCAGAAATTAGATTTTGCATAATCTCAACATTTTCTTTTTCTTTTTTGTGTCAACTCCTATGACTTTAATTTCCGTCTAGAAGCAGGTAATTGATGGTAGATGATAAAAACTATATAAATCTGATATTCATCTTCTATTTTGTTTTCTTGTTGATATTATAATATACAGTGTTAAAATATAAAATTATTATTAGCTGAACAGCTTAAGCATTTGGGATGGATTGACAAACTAACATGGTATCAGAGCGAGAAGTCATAAGTTCAAACCCCTGTAATTACACTCTTTATCCCCATTTAAAATTGTCATGTATTGGGTATTTAATATATCTCAGATTTAAATATTCACGTGTTGGGCTTTCTAATTAATTTACTAACACGATTGTCTATTGTCCAGCCCACACGTGAGGAAGAGTGTTAAAATATAAAACTATTGTTGGCACAACTTCTAACAGCTTAAGCCAGTCAAGTAATTTTAACTTCTTTTCTGTTTAAATTCTTTAAATTTCTTTTCTGGTTTTTTTTTCCTGCATAACAAGTACTCCTTTGATCTCTTATAGAATAACATATACGACTGCATTTTGATTTTGTTTTATTGCCTATTCTCCAAGTCCAAGCATGCATGCTTCATGTTTGTGAACGAGTAGAAAGAAAAGGATTGGACATTTATTCTTTCACCATAAACTTTTTGTGGTATGTGGGATATAAAACGCCTTATCATGATCTGAATTACCCCGTTCTCTTGATTCAGGATTATTTGTAGTTTGTATTTTATAATTGACCTACTAACTTGGTTGTGTATCGTCCTCTAAATTAATCTCTTTTTTTATGGATACGTGCAAAAATGACCCTTTTTTAAGCTACTTTTTAGTAAATAGTCGAAGTTTTGTAAACTTAGAAAAATATCCACTTATTAGTGATATATCATGGTAAATTAATGGTAATTGACTTATGAAGGATATGAATGATTGATCACTGTGTAAAAAAAAAGGCCATTATTTACTTTTTTTTTAAAAAAAGAAAGGCCTTCAGCCGTTAATTTGAAAGGGGTGGCCAAATTATTCGCCTAATTTTCTCCTTTTTATGGGATCATCTAAATTAATCTTAACATCCAAGCCACAGAAAGTGATAATTTTTGTGTTATTAACACATTGAAGACCTTGCAATTAAACCAAGACTGCGACCTTTATTAATGCGGTTTCCGTCATTTTCTTGCTTTCATTTAGATTTTTTTTTCTTTTGAAGGATAGAATGTCATGTTGAGGCAACACATAACTGTGAATTATTATACAACTTCCATGATATCATTTCTTTATAAACCAAGCAATGAAGCACAGATCCTTGCATGTTTTATGTGCAATGGAGGATATAGAATTATTTTTTGGTATGGGCTTAACCAAATAAAATGTGTTTACTTTCGTTTCGTTGTTTAAGTTCATTTCACCGATTCGAGTTTAGAATTTAATTTTTATTACAGTAAAATATTCTTATAAACAGTTATATCTAACTTTTTTACGACAATAAAATCACATCTCAACTCGAATTAACGAACTAAACGGGTTATTGTTTCTTCCCTTTTTTTCCCCTTGAAATGGATCAAGTGTATAACTGAGTTAGTAATGGTTTCTTAACACTTGGGCCCAAAAGCTCTTATGAAACTTTAGTAGTGCTCATTGAGTTAAGGCTTTGGTCTAATGAAGTAATGGCACAATGATATGCCTCGTTTATTTTACTGATTTAAATTTTAGATTTTAAATTTTTACAGTTAAAAATTCTCAAAAAATATCGTATTTAACTTTTTCTGCTACAGTTAAAAATTCTCAAAAATTATTACATCTCAACTCAAATTGAAAACTCAAATTTGTTAAGCGAACGAGGTCATTTATTATTATTGATATGTGACACAGTTAGGATTTTTGTTATTTTCGGGGGCATATGTAACATAAATTTTTCAAACATTAGTGTGTAATAGAATTCCAAAATATGAGTGAGGGCACGTGGCCTTACTAAATAAAACGAAAATGCAGTGAAAAGAAAGCCTTATAACCTAGGTGAAAAAAGAGGAAAGAGAGAAATTTCTCATATTATGTTTTGTATTTATTCTCTCCTCCAATCTTCACATTTGGAGAGATTAAATTTGAGGTTTTTGCCGACTTTGAAATCCATCACCCAATTCATTCTCTTCTTTTTACTCCTAATAAACAGCTATACATTTCAAAATGCTTTTACTAATTCACTCATCCAAACAAGCTCTTAATATATTAGATTTTCTATGGGGATTTTTTATTGCAATTATTTAGAAAAATTGAAGGCAAGTCACAATTGTTACATCTAGTGATAAAATTTATTGAAATATATTCCATAAGATTTATGTTCTTTTCCTCAAATCATGTTCAAACCAAATAGCACACTGGCTACGTGCCATTAATTCTTTAATTTTCTTCCTTCTTCTCCCCCAAATTAATTTGAAACAAACCTTTCTGCCACAGTTGAACACATTAATCATCATGTGAGTCCTACAACAACAAACAGAGAAAAAAAAAAAAAACCATTTTGATACTCTATTTGCTTTCCTTCTAGCTTATTTCAACAATAATTAAAACCATATAATACACTAAAGCCTTAATTATATTATTATATTTGCAGAAACTCTTGAACCAGAAGTGAAGATTCTTGAACTGTCAATTCTTTCTCCTGGTAGACCAGACATTGTTCTTCCTATTCCTCAAGATGGAAATCCCAAAGGCCCATGGTTTACACTCAAAGAAGGAAGTCGTTATAACCTCAAGTTCTCCTTCAATGTCAGCAATAACATTGTGTCTGGCCTCAAGTACACCAACACTGTTTGGAAAACGGGTTTAAAGGGTAAGCCTACTAATCTCCATCCTTGCTAAATTCTTCTTAAAGAATTCACAAGATCAAATACTTTTTTTTTGTTTTAGTTCTTTTAGCTCTGAAAAATATAATAAGGGTTGTAATTCAGTGGACACCACAAAGGAGATGATTGGAACTTTCAGTCCTCAGCCAGAGCCTTACACACATGTGATGCCAGAAGAGACCACACCCTCTGGCATGTTTGCCAGAGGATCGTATTCTGCGAGATCGAAGGTAAGCGTGAACCGGGTTAGGTTCGATTTCATGAAACCGCATAAATTATCTCTCAAATTACTTGAATTTTAGGATGAATAAACTTTAGGCACTTAATGAATTAGTTTCTAAGATATGGTATTGGTTTTGAAAGTAAGGTTTTTTTTCATAGTCCAAGAGTGTATCAACTCGTTTAGGAAATTGAGGTAACTTTTATAGGATAACACATCAGTTTTACATAAAACTGCTTTTACAATTTTATCATCTATTAGGGATATAAATAATGATCAAGAGGTTTGACTTGTAAGTATAATCATAGGCCATTGTGTTGAAGTTTCTTGATGATCATAATGAACTCTACACTTTCTAGCTAGATCCGCTTGATTCAATTGGATCTGGGACTTTTAGACTGTAGGAAAAACTTACCCTGGTAAAGGTAAATGCCTTTTTCAAGTTTATCAATACACCTGAAACTTTGCATTCAACCTATCCGGACCTCATAATTATTCCGAGATCTTGAAGTTTTTAATTGGAGAGTTCCACAGTAGAGTATCAATATTGGTAGAACACAAATTTTAGCCGTGGCTACAAAACAATTACTTCAAATTAAATTGACAAGACTTGATGAAAATTTAACGGTTAAAAACGGTGTTATCATTGGAGTTTTTTTTTTTTTTTTTTTTTTTTCCACATCTTATCAAATACTTCTCTTTTTAAGCGTTGCAATGTACAGATCATAAGTGCAACTTTAGAGGTTGAAGAAAAGGTAGCAAGTAGCTCAAAAAATTTAAAAAAAAAAAAAAAAAAAAAACACATGTTACAACCCGTGGATCAAATACTTTTCCTGAAATTTGTAGTACGGAAATACTTTTCCAATTTTAGACTGTGGAAAATGAAGAAATTGCTTCATATATATTCGTTCGTGGATGGTCTGATATTACATATAAGCTTACATTGCCAAATTCTTATTAGCTTTGACTTTTTTTTTTTTTTCCTTCTGAAATTATTGAACATTTCTTAGCTGGGCCATGTATATTTGTCGCATATGATTCTCTTTTCTGTTAGATTAATCCTACCTAAATTAAGATTACAGGGGCTTAAAGCATCATACCAAACAACCAATTATCATCTTCGAACAAAACTCATAATGTTTGGACCCCATCAAAAAAATCATTAACTCAACAACATATTGTTGTTTTCCATCTCTTGTAATGGCCATGGCCCATGTTGAACTGCATAATCATGTTGATACAGCCTTGACTTAATGTAGCTTTTCCTTGATTTTAGATCTTTTTGTTAATTTCTTTAAAAATCCAAAATCAAATTCTCAATTTAAACTGGCGGTGCCACATGAACTACTTTAGCCTAAGATTGAAGTACTTAAAATTTTGTGGTTTGAAGCAAAAGAAACCACTTTTATCACCATACACTTTCTCATTCTTTGCTCTCTTTTTTTTCGCAGTTCCTCGACGACGATAACAAGTGCTACTTGGAAATCAATTACACTTTTGATATCCGAAAGGGATGGGCTACTCCTTAAACAAGAAAAGAGAGCTGCAGCCAAACCAGGAACTGAGGCTTTTCTTCCTCTCATCATGTTGTGCTGCAATTGATTTTCAAGAGTTTCTACATTAATCATATCTAGTGATTATTTTCTATGCCTGGTTGATTTTTCATAACTTGGAGTGTAAGAAAAGAAAAATATATATACAAGTAAATTATTCTTTGGTAACTATCTTCAATAATTAAGAAGCTTTAGTCTTTGTTTTCAGTATATTTTTTGTTTACTATCCTTACATTGCATATATAGTACAATATTTCCAAATTTTGTACACAACAGGCATGTCCTTTAGTCTTTACCTACCTAGTTGTGGTTGGAAAGCACTGGTATTTTAAAATGGATTATTATTGGATTTGATTAATTTCCTCATTTAATTTATTTAATTCTTTAGCCCCTCTTGGAGCTAAAGCTTATTGAAATAAATTTTACTTGAAAAAAAAATTCTGACTTAAGGAAATCTCTAGTACCCAACAAAAGTTAAATATATATAGCTCTTGTTGATGTGGTTTTGCTCTTCAAGATAATCAATCAAAACCAGTTTAACTATTAGCAAAATATGGTAGAAGGTTTCCGTCTACGTAATTCAGAGCTTGAAGACATCAATCTATTTTCAAAAAAGAAATGAAAATGAAAATGAATTTGACCAGACCCTTGTTTTTTTTTAAGAAAGGAAAAACATATAATGGTTCATTTTTACATCAAAGAAAATGCATTAAATATCCAATTTTATTCATAATAATCTCTATACATGGGTTGGAATTTCATTGAATGAAATTTTTCACGTTACAATATTTGCATTTGGATCAGTCCACTTTGTTTAACAAGAGTAGTTCTAGAATCCAACATTGTTGTCCCAGATCAAAACAACACAACTGAAAAAGAAAAGACAAAATATCAGTACATTAATGTACTAAGTTTATTTCCCTTTGCCATTTGGGGGCTAGTGTACTGTAAGACCTTTCTTTCTTCTCCCAGAATGCATTCAAGGTTCCCACTTTACGATCCCACTTTAAGACTCATGTTCGGCTAATATATTGTGCGTCGTTGAGTGTGTGGTGGCAAGAGTGAAAACTGAGCCCATCCTTCGAGTAGAATTGAGTTAGGTTTTTTCTACTTTATTAGTGGGCTTCGGAATTTCTAAAGTGACAAAGAGGATGAGAGCGTGATGACACCAATGATCTCATTTTTAAGATTCTTGTTCGGTCAATATATTGTGCATCGTTAAGTGTGTGGTGGCATGAGTGAAAACTAGGCCATCCTTTGAGTAGAATTGGGTTAGGTCTTTTCTATTCTATTGGTGGACTTTGTTTAACAAGAGTAGTTATAGAATCCAACATTATTGTCCCGGATCAAAACAGCACAACTGAAAAAGAAGAGACAAAATATAAGTATACTAATGTACTAAGTTTATTTTCCTTTGCCATTTGGGGGCTAGTGTACTGTAAGACCTTTCTTTCTTCTCCTCCCAGAATGCATTCAAGGTTCCCTACTTTACGATCCCACTTTAAGACTCCTGTTCAGCTAATATATTGTGTGTCGTTGAGTGTGTGGTATCATGAGTTAAAACTGGGCCCATCTTTCGAGTAGAATTGAGTTAGGTCTTTTCTGCTTTATTAGTGGGCTTCGGAATTTATAAAGTGACAAAGGGGATGAGAGCGTGATGACACTAATGATCTTATTTTTAAGACTCTTGTTCGGTCAATATATTGTGCGTCATTGAGTGTGTGGTGGCATGAGTGAAAATTGGGTCCATTCTTCAAATATAATTGAGTTAAGTCTTTTCTATTCTATTGGTGGTCTTCAGGATTTCTAAAGTGACAAAGGGCAATGATCTCATTTTTCAAAGGAAAAAAAAAAGTTTCTCTTTTTCATTTTGTTGCATTTTTATCTAGATTGCCTTATGTCCATTGATTTCTTCTTAATTCTCATTTGGCAAATCATGTACTCAAGTCTCCTATTATCAGGCAGATATTGACAAATCAACATATATAGTCCTGTGAATTTCGAGTTTGTTAAGAAAATAGAATGGACAGGAATCAGTACTGGTATATAAAGTGTCGGTGACAATTAATATTTGTGAATTAAAGAATTGGTATATTCTAGAAAATGCTTGGCAGATTTACCATATTTTCAACATGCAATATAATATGCTAGCTAGCCCTCCTGCTTGATTAAGCTAATACGAACAGCTAATCACCCCTGAAGAAGCTTCTATGTTCAGGAATCATTTTTGAAATCACAAAATCAAAAAGCTTATTTTGTGTTTTCTATATTTGTGCCCAATTATAAGCCACACAAATTGATCCTTAAATTATTATATTTGTTATGAGTGGAAGAAAATGCCACGAGAAAACCACTAGACATTGTTTTGGTTCAACCGTTTTAGCAAATTTGCAATGGCCACTAAACTTGAAGCTGCAGCAACCATAATTGCATATGAAGAAAGTGATCTAATTTCACACTCAAAAATTTTTAGGCACAAATTTCCAACAAGCTACCATTTTCTAAGAGATTCATAAAATAAATAATAAACAAATAATAAAAAAAAAACTTTCTAAGTGAATTCTAAAGCAGGAAAGACAATATGGTTCAAAATCCTCCATTGAAATGACTCAAAAAATCAAAATAGAATCAGTTTGATAGGGCCACTCTAGCTGTTTACCAAGGACCTGAAAATAACATCCCACCCTCCCAGAAGGATAGGTAACATTGAACATTCCTTTTAGCTTAGATTAAAGCAAATGCAAAGCTTTTCAGCTTTTTTTTTTTTTTAAAGGCGAATACAAAGCTATGCACTCATTTGTCTTTACTAGTGGATCTAATATTTATCCATGATCGAATACATTTATTTTTTGTGGTCATTTGATATAATAATAAAATTTATGTGGACTGAATTATTAAATAAAATTTTTCATTAAAAAAATAGTTAATCTCACAAATGGTCCTTGAGGTTTTGTCTCAATCTCACTTTAATCCGTGACTTTTTAAATGTTGCAGCACAATTGGTCTCTAAAGTTTTATTCTTATTCAGTTTCGGTATTTCTGTTAGCTTGGTATTAAATATTTGATGGAATATGTATAAATTATGAACTAAAATTGTAAACATATAACGTTTAGAGACTAAAACAATACAAAAAATTAAAAGTTAATTTCTACATATAGATCCTAAATTTTAACTGTTTCTAATTTTAAACTTTAATTTACACAGATTCTGTCAAATTTGAACACCTAATTGATGGAATGACTAAAACTGGAACAAAATAAAGCCTCAGAGACTATCTGTGTGACGTTTGAAAAATCAAGAATGAAAGTGAAATTTAGTGTTAATCTCTGAAATTAACTAAAAAACCATGCAAAAGCTTAAGCCCATTTAAGCAATTTTTTTTTTTCGTTTCCTTTTTTTGGGTAAATAAATAGGAACAGAGGAAAAAGACTGTGGGTGATTTGCTGTTGGTTTGTCTCATAAGATCATTTATTATTTTACTTAATAGACAGTTTTAGCTTATTAAATGAGGATCATGTGCGGAAACACTAATTAGGACCAATAATTGGTGGAGCTAACAAAATTGCCAACGCACCTTCCGTGGATATCTGGACAGCTACAAGTACTGACCTTCCCAAGTCAAAATTACATTGCATATTTATCAATAACCCGATTTGACTGCGAATTCCAATGACCTTCACATGTCTCAACACAAAAGGAGGTTTGCTTATCCCCACCGATGTCTCTGCTGCTTTGTTTTGTGGTAGGGCATCAAAAAATGCTTTAAGATACAATCATAGGTGTTGACGGTCAAATTTCATCAACTAGGTTACGCTGAGTTACTTTCTGATATCTCGTGAGGTTACCGGCCAAAATTTAATTGTGGAAGTGTAATTGATACTGTGAAGTGTATGTTGTACTTTTACGGTGGAAAATAACACGAAAAGCGATATTCAAATGTGAAGACACACAAGGTTTATAGTGGTTCACTCTATTAATCAAGAGCTACATCCACTGTTTCGTTGTATGTATTTTCTGTTATCCAATTACATGTGAAAAAGAAAAAGAAAAAGCCCCTGAGCTTGGGGCTTTGCCCCTCTTTTATAGCTCAAGTTTACTTCATGGGCGGTTTTCCTCTGTAAACCTCCACTCGAGTGCCTGTCATCCTATGGGCCTACACCCATAGCCAGCTAATCATCTTTTGGACTGTTCATTCATCTAATTAGTCCTCCATTACGGCTCTACACTCCCTGTAACCCTCCACCGTCCAGTTGTGGATGGTTTAAGTACTTGTAATTAATGCATGCATTACAGACTTCTTCCAAGCGCACACGTTTCCTCAGGGGGTCCCACGTTTATACGGTCGGCTTCCAGCTGGCCTTCTGTATATACGGTCGGCTTCATGAGCCCAGATGAGAACTGAGCTAGGCGCCGCCCTTTACACGGTCGACTTTAACGAGACCCCTGATGTGGGTGAGTTGGGTAAACACCGAGGTCTTATTAGGTCGGCGGTATGACGAGTCGACGATTTGGCCGACGTGGTTATTACAAGGCCACGTGGAACGCTGTTGTTGTCCGACGTGTCAAAGCGTATTTTCCCGCACAACAATAGGCCTCGTTCATTTCACCGATTCGAGTTTAGAATTTAAATTTTACTACAATAAAAAGTTCTTATAAATAGTTACATTAAATTTTTTTACTACAAGGCTCTCACATAAAGTCACATCTCAACTCGAATTAAAAACTCAAATCAGCGAACTAAACGGGCCTTGTTAGTTTACCAATTCATCCCAAAAGCTTAAGCTAATAAGAGGTGGGCCAACAATAATTTTATATTTTAACACTCCTCCTCACGTGTGGGCTGGACAATAGACAAAAATTAATTAGAAAGCCCAACACGTGAATATTTAAGCCCGAAATATATTAAAAACTCAACACATGATGACAATTTAAATGGGGATAAAGAGTGCAATTACGGGGGTTTGAACTCAGGACATCCATCTTTGATATCATGTTAGTTTAACAATTCATCCCAAAAACTTAAGCTAATAGGAAGTAGGCCAACAATAATTTTATACTTTAACAATTAATTGAAAAGCTCAACACATGAATATTTAAGTCCGAGATATATTAAAAACTCAACACATTATGACAATTTTAAATGGAGATAAAGAGTGTAATTACGGGAATTTAGACTAAGAACCTCATATTCTGATACTATATTAGCTTACTAATCTATTACAAAAACTTAAACAACGGGCCTTAAACTATCAAACCAAGATTTGAATCCCATGTTTAATTTTTTTCTGTCTCAAACTGTGTCCATCCACTCATATTATATCATCTCAATAAAAATTTTAACAACCCTTTTAATAGATTTCTCCGTCAAACCCACGTTATCTTTCTCTCATTTCTCTCTCTTCTCTTTACATTTTCCTTTAAAAGTGTTGTGATTTTTCTCTCCTCTCTCCAATTTATCCTCTTTCTGAAGCAAACCAAGGGAAATTGCAAATTATGAAAGAGAAATTCACAAGAGTAAAGAGCACGACACACCAAAAATCAATTTTTGTAATTTTTTTTATTATTATCACGAATATAAATTAGACTGTTATATTACACACATATATGTATATATATACGTCAACTCTATCACAGAATTTTCCATCGTTTTACACAAAATCTGTTACCAATTCCATCTCTAGAATGTAAAAAATAGAAAAAGCCTCTCAAAGTATCAAAATAACTTTTCTTAATATGGTATCAAATTGCTATATTAATTGGTCAAAACTTTGACAAGATTAGCCAAAGAAAAAGATTGGTTTCTATTTCACATGGACAGAAACAACTTGTGGTTTTAAACTTAATACAGGATTCTTTTAGTAATATATATATATATATATATATATATATACACACGTGAAATTACTAATAATCTCATCTAATAATCTCATAGACGGCTGACGGCTGATGAACACTAATATTTTTAAAAAAGAGAGAACACCATATAAAATCTCAAAAAAAAAAAAATTATTAAAACTCAAAAGTTTCAAATGATCCCAATTAATTAACTAATTGCCATGTGATTCCCAAAAAGTCCAAAATGGGGATAATACATAGTATATTGTGGCAACGTGGTTTCATGGGTTGTTTTTTTTTTTTTTTTATTCCGAAAATAGTAATTTTGATAAATATTTTTTAAAATAGTACTATTAAAAATTTTTGAGTCTTAACATTAGCTTATTGAATTTTACCCATTTAAATAAGTAATTTAATAAATTATTATCGATAATTTAACAAATGTCATCGGCGGCAATTCTCTGATCGCCGCTAACAAACGTAATTTAATAGATTATTGTTTAATATTTAACAAATTATTATTTATAATTTAACAAATTATTATTAAAGGGATAATCTATCACAATAAATGAATATAACTCTATAATGATGTGTTTAAAAATCAATTTTTGTAATTTTCTCTTTCGGAAAAAGAATGTACTTTTGGGGGTGTTTATTTGTCGGCAACAAGAGTAAAGAGCACGACACACCAAAACGGTGTCGTCTGTGTGCCGGTGAGCCGATTTTGCTAACATGAGCGGTGGCGGTGGGGTGCGCATGTGTGCGGAAAATGATTGGATACAGTTGTCGGAGGGGGCTGTGGAAGCAACCACCGGACAGCCGAGCGCTCGTTGGCCCAAATCTCATGGTAGGCCCATGATGAGCTTGTCAAACCACGATATTTTGATGCTTTTTTTTTTTAGTCTTTAAAGAATCACGACATTTTCCAGTTTTGAAATAATAATTATTTGCCACATTTTCATATTTTTAGTTCTCAGCTACACGTCCCTACGTAACCAATTTTTCTCACGTTTTTATCGTAGAGAATATATATATATAGAAGTACTCTTTCATTCGTTCCCCTCAAATTATCGTTCCCATTACTATATTTAAAGTTCGTTTAGTTTATTAATTTAAATTTTTTAAAAAATTTATTTCTACATTTTTTATACAACTTTTTACTCCTTTTACTCATGAATTATTCTAATATGTATGATTGATTTATATATAGGAGCTTTCTATGGTATTTTTTAATTTTTATACCATGCATTTTTTATGTTAAAAAACATCTACTTTATATTTTAAATTATATTACATTTATATATTTCAAATTCATAATAAATATTTACCCATTTACGGTCAAAATTTAAATTCACTATGAAAAATACCCAAATATCCTCATATTTTACAAGTTTCTTTTTCTTTTAAAAAAAATTATTAATGCCATTTAGCTCTTTAAGTGGTCAAACTTGATTGTTGACCGAGAAAAGGCCAGAAGTTAGCATAAATTAGAAATCTAAAATCATGAATATGGCCAACTGCAAAATGCAAAATATAATATTGCTTAATTTTTTTAAAATCATTTTGAGTATAAAAATGAAAAATACCTTTTATAGAAGGGCATCCTTATTGATTTAATCAAAATCACATTAAAAAAAAATATGCATAACAAATAGTTTTTTTATACTAATATGATGTTTCAAGACATAACTCTATCAACATTTTTTTTCTTTTTCACATTGTCAAATTCTTTATATGTAATTCTTAAAAACTACAATCCTATAATTTTTTTTTTTGTATTTTTTTATTTTTTAAAATAGAATAATATTTCGTTCATACTGAGATTGAAGGCTAACTCCGCCGTTTCCTTTTGTTCTTCCCTAATTGAGTAAGTAGGAGCTTAAGAATCCAAATATTTCCCCTGTAAAACCTTTTATAGTTATGTAACTTGTAGCCAATTTGTCATGGTGTCGTGATAATTGAAAACATTTCATTTTATAACAATACTTAACACGAAAATTCAAGATATGGGGTTAGTAAGAGTGTTAAAAGCTAAATCAAGGGGTGTTACACAAACTTTAGTTCTCTTTAAAAATCGAAGTCACCTATGTTACAAATAACGTCTGCTAGTGTTACACATATTTTGCCTACATATTATTCTCCTCTCACCCATAGTTACTATTGCGTTCAATAGATGCGTTACAAATTTTTTTTTTTTTTAGTGTTATTTCGTTCTTTTTATTAATGTAAAATAACCGTTACAACCCTTAATTGATTTAAATACCTTTTTTTTTTTTTTTTTTTTTTATCAATCTATCACCTACTCCTCCTGCCAAAAACAGTATGTGGCCAATGAACAATAAATATCTAAGGTGCCGTTCATTTTACCGATTCGAGTTTTGTTACAGTAAAAAGCTCTCAGAAACAGTCATATCTAATTTTTTTGTTACAGTAAAAAACTCTCACATAAACTCACATCTAAACTCGAATCAACGAACTAAACGGACCCTAAAATACTTTTACTTGTACGTTCAGACCTCAAATAACACGTAGGCGCCATCTCCGGTCTGGCTAAAAAATCTGTCAAAAATTTTCCAACCAACCATGAGATCTCATGTTAGTTTAGTACAAAAATTTAAATTAGAGTGATTTTAATCATGATTTTGAAATCAAAATTATGATTTATGATTTTAGGTTCAAATCATGATTTTGAAACCATGATATCAGGAGTTTCCCTTGAATCAAGAGAGAGTTGGTTTTAAAATCATGAGTGATTCTGGTTTAAAACATCATATCAGATTCTGAATCATGATTCAGAATCATCCAAATCAAACTTTAATTTTGAATTTTGATTCAGAATCACTGTAAATAAACACTGATTCTGAATCAGATCTAGAATCATATTCTGAATTCATTTACCAAACGAATCCTAAGAATTTTTTCATGAGATGAGAATTTGAATGAGAAAAGTATGCAAGAGATATTGATGGTCATATATTATTGATAATGATGAGGTGTAGTGCAAGGCTGGTCTACAAGCAATATTAAACAAATAAGTTGCAGGCGATTTAGAAAGCCCATCCTACACCTGAAATACTCTTCTTTTCTTCCCCACCAAAAAAAAAAAAAAACCTTCTCTCTTTTCTTAAGAGTCATTCCAAATAAGTATTACTTTATTTTGTGTCCAAGTAAGAGCCATCCGATCGTTTTAACTTTGAACACGCCCGACTTTATCTGATTTTTGCATCCACCTACTCTCCGACTTTATTTATATCTCTTTATTTATATTTACCTCCCCAAGTTATTACTTACTACTACACCCACACACCAACTTAACTTGGTTTTGTTTTTATCTCACATATAAGTCCACCTTTATATAATCTCTCCACATTCTGCATTGGCATTTGCATTCTTCATTTCCATATTCTCTCAAGTTCCTCTTGCTCTGAGGTGGGTTTTCTTTAACTTCTCTTCGTTGCATTTCATTTTCCAAGATTTGTATGCACATTTGTCTGTTAGTTAAGCTGACATTTTGAGAATTATAGCGAGTTTCTTGCTTCTTTTGTGTTTTACGCCAATGGGTTTGTTTTCCTTTGTTGTGCTGATCTAGATCTGTTTCTTTTTCCATTCTTGATGTGCTTTTTAGCAATTTTTATTTTGCTGCTGTTTTCAGAGAGATTTTTTTTTTGGCGATTTGGGATTTTTTTCTTTTTTTTTTTTGGCATAGAATTATCTTGTAAGCTGAAAAGTGAATTCTTTGTTGAATGCCATTTTGATTTGGTTTTTCTAATTCAAAGTTTTCAGTTTCAGGGGAATTTGAGTGTTGGGTCTCTTATAGAACAGTCCAAACTAGTATGCACTGTGTCATAGTTTAAGCATCTCAGCATGACATTACAAGCTTTGATGTTTTCTTTCAGATCTCCCCACCAACAATTCCATTTCAACTTAAAAACTCTTGTGTTGACCAAGATCTAGTTTTTTTAGCAAGACTCGCTAGTATCAGTAACCCAATTGGGTTTCGTTGAAAAATGGAACACTGCTTGGGGAAAGTTTAAAACAACTCATACCCACATTGTGGTTTGATTGGACATTAACAATGCCACTATTCATTTTTATTGCATTATTCAGATCTATGTTTTTTTAAATCCATTTTGTTCTCTACATCAGGAATTTGGAGAGCTCAAGAAGTCATTATCAACAAAACAAATCTGTGGTGGAAAAATGGCACCCAAGTTTGTTTTCATTGCCATCACAATGGTGGTGCTTCTTTCTTCCTCAGCATTTGCCCAAAAAACTGCCTCACCGCCTTCACTAGCCCCAACTCCGGCACCTGCACCAGCCCCGGACTATGTAAACCTGACTGAATTACTCAGCGTGGCCGGTCCATTCCACACTTTCCTTGACTACCTTTTGTCCACAAAAGTCATTGACACCTTACAAAACCAAGCCAACAACACTGAGGAAGGTGTCACAATCTTTGTCCCAAAAGACAAAGCCTTCTCATCCCTCAAGAGCCCCTCTCTCAAAAACCTCACAAACGACCAGCTCAAGCAGCTCTTGCTTTTCCATGCCTTGCCACACTACTACAGCCTTGCTGAGTTCACAAATCTCAGCCAAAGCAGCCCTGTCAATTCCATGGCTGGTGGGCAGTACTCCTTGAACTTCACCGATAATTCGGGGACTGTTCACATTAGCACAGGCTGGACCAGAACAAAGGTCAGCAGCAGTGTGCACTCAACTGACCCTGTTGCCATTTACCAAGTTGACAATGTCCTCCTTCCTGAGGCCATTTTCGGTACCGACATTCCTCCGACCCCTGCTCCTGCCCCTGCCCCAGATATCGCCCCGGTTGCGGATGGCCCGACATCTGAGGATGCTGGGGCCAAGTCTCCAACATCTAATTTGTCAGGGAAGTCTGCTTCTTTCAGGATCAGCAGCTGGGGAATTTGGAGTCAGTTGGCCTTGGCGGTTTCAGGTGGATTCGCATTGATGTTCTTGTGAAGTGAAGAGTTCGGGGATTCCATGATGAATCTTTAACTTATGTCATCAAGAGGGTATATTTGGATTTATTCCAGGTGCTTTATTTTTTTTATTTGAAAACCATTTTTTTCTGAACATATGTGCTGCTATTGAATTTTATGATGTATGAGGATGTGGGAGATCTTCTGCTACGGGAGATGCATTTTGTTTGATCTATTGTCATATAGAAAATATTATTGTACTCCTCGGCTCTCAGCTTTAATTAATTGTTGTGTTGCTTTCGGTATACAAGACATTAAATGTTTTTCCGTATTATGCAACTTTCAAGTTATTTTGGTCTATGCAACTGCTTCTTGGTAAATCAATCAAAACGATACATCATATTTTTCATGTGGTGTTAAGGAAAAGGAATATATTTCGGACAAAACTTGGTACTAGAATCAGCAGATTATTTAGACTAGGTATGTTTCACGCCATATACTGTTACAACACTTGGTAAGACGTTACATCAGCAGAACTTAATTGGTGAATATACTTGGTGACTATTATATAGTCTTGTAACAATTTTTTACTATTAAGATCTCATTTAATTCGCTGATTTGAGTTTTTAATTCGATATTATATATGATTTTACGTGGAGTTTTTAGCTGTAGCAGAAAAAGTTAGAAGTGATTTTTTATGAGAGCTTTTAACTGTAGTAAAACTGAAATTGAAAATTCGAATCGACTAAATGAACGAGACCTAATATTGTTAAGGGTAAACATCACATAACCTTTTTCAAGCTGTGTTGTTTTTGCTTTTTTTATTAGTTTTTTTTTTTCCCTTGGTACTTTTTTTGTTACTTTTGCTCGAGAAGATTCTGACTTCACCAATACTCTACATATATGATATACCCCCACTTTGGAAAAGACCAATGACACTTAAAAAAAAAAAAAACCAACCTGTTGCAGTACATATAGATGTGTCATCTTTAAGCATATATCTTTCCACACTTAATTTTAGTAATTTGCTAAGCAAACGTGGCCATTTCAATTTGCAATAATTACATAAAATGTCTACCATGGGAGGTCTTTAATCTATCTTTTAATTTCACTTGGTCACCCTAATCAAGTTCGTGAAAGGATTGAGGGAAAATTACCAAACCATTCTAAATTTATTGGTTTTGTGATTCCGTTTTAGTAACTTCTACTATGATAAGTAATTCCCTTTTTTTAAGATAGTGTGATGAGTTACTCGTCCATACATGATAAAACTAGGGTGAATTAGGGGAATGCGACCTTTAAGAGTTGGTAAAATATGTTAATTATCTCATAAAATTTTGCTATGTAGCGTAGTTATCTCAAAAGGTATTGGGCCTAATTTATATATGAACTCAGCCTGTCTTCAATAGGCCGAATCCAGGTCCATAAAGTGATTTGCCCAAACCTGAATCAGTTTGCTTGATTTCCAACGTTTATGTTTAAGAATTGTACTTTCTTATCCTGCTAGCAACTGTTCATTTATTCATTTCCTTTTATAAGAATGTATACTATTTTTTTTTTTTTTGAGGAAAATAAGAATGTATATTATGTTTCTTTGATTTTCCTATGCTGAAGTTTTTAACTAAGGGATGGCAACGGGGTGAATTTAGAGCGGAATGATCTTATCTCTAACCCGTTTTGCGAATAAAAACACTCACCATATCCGCCCTATAAACCCGTATAAATTAACAGGTTACGGGGAGGATATTTCCGTCATGAATTTGGGGTATTAACGGTGACTCATTTATCCAATTAGTTATCTTTATTATAAAATAAATAAATAATTAACTAAACAATACAAACATACAAAATACTAAGTAAAGAAATGTAATTTTGAAATTTCATATACTATGGGTCAATCAATAGCTTATTTCCTTTACCACTGTGTTGCTTGTTTTGACCCCCTCTTATACAAAAGCCGTTTTGACATCAAAATGTGGTTCTTGTGGCTTGGAACTTTTTCTTTATTTCACTTCTTATTTTGATATGATAATCTCAATGTTGATTATGTCTTTTTAGCATTTATGTTTTCGTTGTGTAATAACAAAAGTTGTCACCTTATCATTCTATAGTGGTGATACGTCTAATCTATTAAGTTTTATCCTACATAATACCGTGAGTGATCATGGTGCTCTAAGTCCTTTAGTCTCAGTCGATTGGTTTTATCACTATAGCGACTTTGTCAAACGAGCTTTTCTCACGCTCAATTATTAATGTGTTGAGCGGGTCTTTTTCCATTAGATGTCGACAATTGTGTTTACCTCTACACCTCAATCGTTTCATTGTGTGGTCAAATATCTTTTATTTGGTAGTCATTTACAACTATATTAGAGTCTATATCGTTTTATTTATTTAATGAAATTTTCTGATTAAAAAAATTCACTAAATATCTTGAGCTTACTGATGGTATGATTATAAATTGTTCAATAAATATAGATTTATTAAATGTGGTCAGCTGGAATTTGTAAGAGTGATTCTTTAGCTGTGGTGACTGATTAATTTTCGTGTCCAGTCCGTTTGTAGAAGAATGCAAATTATCCAATATCGGTAGATTTTATAATTGGATAGGATGACAAATTAGAATAAAATGAAAGTTTAAAAGAACAGCCAATGTAGGCTATAATATATATAAGCTTATATTGGAGTGATTAAAATCCATTTAACGTTAATTACTATTAACCTTCTTTTAGGTATATCACTACTATTTTTTGCATCGTGACTGTTATCTTTCTAATCTATTATTAGGTAATAAAGTGGCACACAAATTAACTAGTTTTGCTTCCTCTTTGATAAAATAATTACTCCACTTATTCTATTCCTCTTGTGCTAATGAGATTACTTATTAGGACTTAAAAAGATAAAAAAAAAAAAAAAAAAAAAAAAAAAAAAAAAAATTAACATGCTTAAAATTGTTTGCCTCTATGCTTAATTAACATCATGTCTAACTTGCATGTTTTAAGTATAACTTTTTCAAAACGAAATTAAGGATTTGTAGTATATAATAGATTTCATAAACATGAAATAGTTCATATATTCAAACTTAAATTATTGATTATACTAGAATGAATTTGAATTTCAAACGTTAGAATTAAAAATTATGATTGACTTCTCGACGATGAGATTTAAACTCGGCTCGCCATGGATCTTCTGAGAAAGTAGAGATCAACGGAGTTTCATGACTTGGTGAAATCCGACGAGTCTCTTCGTCGTGCTCTTTCCGGCGATAACCTTTGAGCTTTTTCTGCCACCGACATAGTCGTCGTGCTCTGGATGGCGTGGTCACAGTGAAAGGCATCGGCAACCCCGTCGCAAGGCCATGACACAATCAAAACGGCACAAAGTTCGCACTTGTAGCTCGTCATGAGTTCAACACAGTTCACAGCCACCACGCAAACCTCACCGTCGTGGGTTTTCTCTTTCCTCTTTTTTTAATTTCTGAATTTTGTTATATTTTGGGATAAATAGTTTATTTATTTACTAAATAAAGAATTACAAGTATCAGAAACATAAAAAAATTGGTAAATATTAGGTAATGCATTAAACGGATGTTTAAGAAAAATACGTGAATTACGTAATTAGTAATTACTGAGAGAATAATGTGTGTATTTGGTAAATAGTATATTTATTAGGAAAATAATTTATTCATTTGGTAAATAAATTTATAAATACTTGATAAGTAGTGTATTCACTACCTGAATATTAGGTAAATTTATTTAATTGATAAATACTAAATAAATAATGTACTTATTAAGTGAAAGATATTGATAAAAAAATGTATTTACTATATAAATATAAGGTATACACTGCATTTAATAAGTTAATATTAATAATCTAGTTATTAAGTTTACCGATCTGTGAATAATTGATTTATTGAGAAAAAAAAAGAAGAAAAACAAAAACAAAAATAAAAAGTAACTCCAAATTAAAACCTTAATCCCAATCCTAATATCAAAAAAATTCCTAAACTTATCCCCTTCCATCACCCAACCCTCTCCCCCGAATAGTAAACTGTCAAGGGACAATCGAAATCCGATGAACAATGAGAAAGAAAAGTCGAATCTGCAGTGACGAGCCTGGCACAGAGATCAGGGGTGCATTTAAAACTCGTTTCAAAATAATTTTATTTTTTGTATGAAAATAAAAATGAAAACGTTTTCAATTTCATACATAAATCATTTTTAAAAATGCGTTTGGTAGTTTTATCAAGAGATTGTTTTAAGTGTAAAAAAACCCATTAATGTCTCTCTTTTTCTCTCTCTGCTCCAGAAAGGAGAAAATGAAAATAAAAAATGAAAAACGATGAAAAGTCATTTTTCATTTCTCTCTCATTTTACACTAAACTAAAAAATCGTTTTCATTTATGTTTTTTGTCGTTATTGCACCAAACGCCGTTTTAAGAACGTTTTTATTTTTTTCTCAAAAAACATAAAAAATAAAAACAAGATCTATTCCAAACATGACCCAGAAGATGTGCTTTGGTCTCGTCTAAGGCCTTTGGTTCCAACACAACACCACACCCTATTACATCAACTGGTCATTTTTCATATTTCAGTATTTTAGCTTACCTTGCAAGCTTTGCTGACGTGTATGAAGTAGTTACAATATTTATCTATTGTAACCGTGTATATAAGTGGTTTTCCACTATTCACATTAATCAATAACAACATTATTCATTTTCCCCAATTCTCCCTGTTATTCGCAATATGGTATCAGAGAAAATTTCTTGCTGCTCAATCTGATTGTTCTTCAATTCATCATCTCCTTTGTTGTTTCAATCCGATTGTTCTTCAATTCATCATCCTCTTCGATGTTTCAATCATGTCCTTGATTTCTTCCTAGATTCGATCAAAACATTTTATCAATTTTCATGGCTTCATCTGTTTCTGGGAACTCCTCGGCGATTTCTGGCAAGTCCACCATTGACGATCCGCTTAGTCCCTATTTTCTTCATCACTCTGACAGCCCAGGCCTCTCGCTTGTGTCTCAGCCATTAACAGGAGATAACTACCCTTCCTGGAGCCGTGCGATGATCATTGCATTGCCTGTGAAGAACAAGTTAGGTTTCATCGATGGATCCGTGATGAAACCAGACGGTACAGATCTCAACTTGCTTAATTCCTGGATTAGAAATAATAATGTAGTCATTTCTTGGATATTAAACGCTGTTTCTAAAGAAATCTCTGCCAGCATTCTATTTTCTAATTCTGCCTGTGAAATATGGCTTAATCTCAAGGAACGTTTTCAATAAAGTAACGGTCCTAGGATTTTTTAGTTGAAACGAGAATTAGTTAAT